AATACAAAAAAAAAAAATCCTTAATGAAATAGCAAGTGGAGTCTAGCAAAATATATAAATACATCATGACCAAATGAATTTATACCAGGAGACAAGGCTGGTTTAATATTCAAAAATTAAAGAAAAAGGAGAAACAATATATCCATAGATACCAAAAAAAAAAAAAAAAAAAGACAAAGTTCAAATCCACTTATGATAAAAACTGACAACAAACCAGGAATAGATGGGAACTTTTTCAGTCTGGTAAAGGACATTTTCAAGAAATCTATAGCTAACTATTTATTTAGTGAGAAAGACTGGATGCTTTCTTTGCAATATCAGGAAGAAGGTAAGGATGTCCACTCACATGACTTATAATTAACATACTAGAGTTCCTTCCTAATCAGTGCAAAAAGGTAAGAATAATAAAGGCATCCAGATTATAAAGAAATAAGTCAAATGTCTTTATTTCCAATTGACTTGACAATATACATTGAAAATCCAGTGGTCTGTATAAGGAAGCTACTAAAACTCGCAAGTGAATTTGTCAGGGTCACAGTATATAAGGTCAAAATACAAAAATCAAGTGTATTTCTCTATTCTAGCATTTATAAATTAAAATACATAAAGGGAAATTTTAAAAAGTGTATAAAACATAGCTAAGAGAAATTGACAGTATGTGAATACACAGAGATATATACTATATACATTGATTGGAAGACTCAGTATTGTTAAGATGTCACCTGTCCACAAAAGATCTATAGATTTAATGCAATCCTAATAAAAATGCTAGTAGTTTTTTTGTTTTGTTTTCTTCTGTTTTTGGGTAGAGATTGACAGGCTCATTCCCAAATGTAGAATGGTCCAAATAAAAGAGTAGCAATGGAGAATTTACACTACTGGATTTCAAGAATTACTCTGACCTATAATAGTAGTATGGTATTTACATAAGATGTTGACATAGATAATAGATAGCTATCCAAATGGGTAGGGGTTGTATTTGTATGTGTATAGGCAACAAATAGAATATTCAGAGACAGTCTTATATCTATTATAGTGTTTTTCTACTATAATAGGTAGACAGATCTATTTGTTAAGGGATAATAGAATCTTTTCAAGAAATGGTTCAGAAACTGGATTTCCTGTAGGAAATAATGAATCTGGATCCATACCTCACACCATACACACAAACTAACTTGAATTAGATCATAAATCTAAACGCCAAAACTCTAAAACTTCTTGAAGTTTTAGAAGCATGAGAAAATCTTCATGACTTTGTGTTAGGGAAAGATTTGTTAATATTCAGAAAGAACTAACCATAAAAAGAAAATCTGATAAATTTGGCTTCATCAAAATTAGAATAATTTACTTCTCTAAATATACCATTACAAAGAGAAAGGCATGCTATAAACTGGGACAAAGTATTTCTAATAGATACAGTCTGATACAGAACATGTATCAACAACAAAGTAATCCAATTAAATATGGGCAAAATATTTGAATAGGCACATCTGTCAAAAAAAAGTTGTAATCCCTTGGGAAGCATAAAAAGCACATGAAAAGGTGCTTTATATCAGGAGTTGGAAAACTGCGTCCCAAGGAAAAATTCTGGCCCACTGCCTGTTTCTCTAAATAAAGTTTTATCAGAACACAGCCACACTCATTCATTTATGTATCATCTATAGCTGCTTTTGTGCTACAGTGCCAGAGTTGGGTCATTATGTCAACAAGTAGTACCAAGAGAAATTGTACCCGTCCATCTCTTAGGAACCTGGCCACACAGCAGGAGGTGAGCGGCAGGTGAGGTAGTGAAGCTTCATCTGTACAGCCCCTGCCTCCCAACCCCAGCTGTGGAAAAATTGTCTTCCATGAAACTGGTCTCTGGTGCCAAAAAGGTTGGGGACCACTGGTCGAGGTGGCCTCCACTCACAGATGTCTTTGCTCTGATCTCTGTTAGAGGTAGGAGCCCCACCTTATGTTCAGCATGTGGTGGTCTATGATCAGTTTAGCACAGTCCAGAGAGATGCAGGGGGGCAGTATCCTTAGTGGTCTGGCAGACCAGTCTTCTATGCTGTTTGGGAAGTCTGGACACTGAGTATGCTTCACATTCCTAAGGGTTTGCTGTTGCATTAGCTATGTTCTGATTGGTTACACTGTAAGTTATGTAAATAATTTGCATCATTGATTATATAAGTTGTTTACATAAAACATGTTTTGACTTTAGTATACAACAAGTGTTAATCTCCTTTGAGCAAGTTGCCATATATTTATCTGTAACTTGTTTACAACCGTAATTATTTTTGAGAAAAACATGTTTTCAAGCAAGGGAACATTTTTGGTGAGAAAGTTTGCTTACCACTTTTAAGCGTAGCAAACAGATTTTATTCACTTAAAATGTAGAATAAGTTATCCTTAACAGAAAATTTATTTCACACATTGAAAGTATGATTTAGTTTACTTAAATTTAATCTGGTATTACTATTTTTCTATGTTAGTATAATTTAATGTAGTATATGAGGATAAAAATGGTTTTTGTAATCCTAATTTCAGTATCAGAATATTCTTATCAGAAGTACAATAATATGAGCTCTATGAAAATTTTCTTTTTTCTCTATTATATTTGACCATTAGCTAATCATCAGTTTGATAGCCAAGCCAGATTGCATGTTATAGGGAAATTTTCCAACTGGAGCTTAAAGAATATGTAAGATCATCTTTGTTTTCCCTTTGCTTACTTCCACACCGTATTTCTGCAAGTCCTATCAGCTTTAAAATGTACCTTAAATCCATCCTCTTAGCTACGTATCTTCTTTATCTCCCCTACACTTCCCAGCCTAAGCCATTTTCATATTCATTAGTTTAGTCAGAATAGGCTATATATAAAGTCACAAATTAGTCTTCTAATCTTGGTGGTTTAACATAGCAGAGGTCTACTATGGTTTACATAAAGTGCAGTGTGGTTTGGACTATGATCCTCCTCAGTCTTATAACTATACTACCTGCACTAGTGGCTTTGAAGGTCCTCAGGTGGACTGGAAATGACAATGTCACTTTTCCTCACAGCCCACTGGTGAAAATTAGTCACATGACTCCAACCTAAGTGCAAATGAGGCTGGGAAATGTAGGGCAGCACATGAAATATTTGGAGACCACTATTTGTACCATACCCAGATTATTATAGTTACATTTTAATTGGTTTCCTTATTTTCTCTCATGTCCCACCATGATGCGTTCTCTACTTAGTAACCCAAGGGCCTGGAAAAAATTTTTTGTTACTGCCTTGCCAGTAGTTTTCATTTTGAATTAAAGTCCAAAGACTTTATCCTCACCTGTGCAAGTTACTACATGCTATGGCCCTTGCCTCCCTTTCTAATTTCATGATTGGCATTTAGTGTTACTAAATATTATCCATACTATCCATGTATTTTGAATACACTAGCGTTCTCTTTTATTTTGTCAGTAGTTATAAAAATGTGATTTTTTTAGAAATGTCAAATTTACAAAATCACAATGTAAACAATAAATAATACCAACAGAAATCCTACTTTATATGCTATCGTCAGTCACAACGTATGAAATCAGAATATTTTTTAAAAATATCCTTTTGGAAACATTGATATAATGTAAAATCCTATTTTAAGGAATAAATTCTCTATAGCAAAGTTACAACAATTGCATTCTGTTTATCTGACAGCAAATGATCTCTTAGAATAAATGTTTTCTCTAATGTTCCATTATAGTTACATGCATTTCTAAAAATTAATAAACTTTATTTTTTAGAGAAGTTTTAGGTTCACAGAAAAATTGAGTGGAAAGTACAGAGAGTTACCATATACCTTTTGTCCCCAGAAATGTACAACCTTCTCTACTATCAATGTGGCACACCAGAGTGGTGCATTTGTTACAATTGATGAACCTACATTAACACATCATCATCACCCAAAGTCCATAATTTACATTAGGGTTCACTCTTGCTGTTGTACATTCTATAGGTTTTGACAATAAATGCATTTTTAGATACTTTTTTGTGACATTTATATGTTTTGTAATTAAGTAGTTGTTGCCCTTCAGTTATACCTTCAATTTCTGTCATGTTTTCCCTTGGAAATCTGCATCTCCTAATTAATTTTCTCTCTTTCTCTCTCTCTCTCTCTCTCTCTCTCTCTCTCTCTCTCACCCCACCTGTAATCCCAAATAATTTTTTTCTAGTTGGAATGGTTGAAATATTTTCATCAAGTAATTAATTTGTAATCTCACAAACTATATATTAGAGCAGTGCTTTGCCATACGATAGAGGAACTAGGAGGATTTAATTCTTATTTTCAAATATGCATGAAAGGATTTATATAAATTCTTTGTGATCTCTGGGTTGTAAATCCTAGGAATCAGGTTTCTAACAAGTTCTTTATCTTAACAAACATCTCAAGACCTATATATTTGTATACTTATTTGAAATGTAGCAGAACATTCATATTTTTAATAATTTTTGATAATTTCCCTAAATTGATTTTAAGTATTTAATTAGCTAATAATGATGCCTGTTTTAGCAAATGAAAATTACATATAGTAAATTTGAGTACACTACAGTTTGTTATGTGGATTTAGATGTAGTACAGTTCAAACAGCTTGTCCAATATTGACACCTACTTATGTATAAAAATCTCATGTAGCAGTGTTTATTTACAGGTGTTAGTATCGTTATTCATGTTTACTTTTCTTTCCTGGCCCATCCCTATTTAAGCTCTTCAGTATTAATAAAGTACTAAGTAGCAGAGGGATTATCCTACTACACGATGTGTAATACTGAATAAAAACAGGTATTTATGGGCTGGAAAGGTAAAGAAATTAAATCTTTTTTTTTTTCCTTATAAGAAGTCAATCTGCCATTCTCCCTTTGTATAATTAGATGTTTTGTAAAGGAAATTGGATTTTATGATAGAAGTCAAGGAAGTTATTAAGCAGTCTCTGTGAAAACTTGATTGCCTCTGTGCTTTGACTGACAGTGTTTGTCTTGTTCACAGTAACCGTAGTACTGAATGGAAGTGGCTTGTAGACAGAGCAAGAGTTGGCAGCCGATGGACTTGGCTTCAAGCCCAGATTTCAGAGCTCGAATACAAAATCCAACAACTAACAGATATTCACAGGCAGATTCGTGCCTCCAAGGTATTGTTGTGTTTTAGTTTTGATAAAAATTGTTACTGTTTTAGTTCCTTCTCATTTCATCACCCAAAATAATTGTTAGAAGATTTTATAAAAATGTACTTAGTTTATGTTAAGATTTTTGATATATTGCTATAAATTGAAGCCATCTTTGTAATGCCTTTGTATTTAACCAAGATCATTTTATCATGCTTTTTGAGAAATTCAGAACTTCCTTAGGATTCCAGTTAATAGAAATAATATACATTTTTTTTCCAAATTTTTTATTATGATAAAGTATATATAATATAAAATTTATCATCTTAACAATTTTTGAGTCTACAGTTCAGTGTTAAATATATTCATAACATTAAACATCCATCACCATCCAACTCCACGATTCCTTTCATATTTTAAAACTGAAGTTCTATATCCTTTAAATAATAACTGTCCATTTCCCCTTCTCCCTAACCCCTGGCAACTATGTCTGTGTCTATGATTTCGACTATTCTAAGTACCTCGTATGAGTTGGAATCATAACAGTATTTGTCTTTTTGTGACTTACTCATTTCACTTAGCATAATGTTCTCGGCTTTCACCCATATTGTACCATATATTAGAATGTCTTTCCTTTTTAAGGCTGGATAATATTTCATAATATGTATATACCACATTTTGCTTATTCATTTACCCACTGATGGACACTTGGGTTGCTTCCATGTTTTAGCTATTGTGATTTTGCTATAAAACATGGATATAAAAATGTCTCTTTGAGACCGTGTTTTTAATTCTTTTGGGTATATACTCAGAAGTGGAATTGCTAGTTCTTATGGAAACTCTATTTTTAATATTTGTGGGTCCACCATACTGTTTTCCACAGTGGCTATACAAGTTTACAATCCCACTAACAGGGAGAGAAATTTCTAGTTTCTCCAAATTCTCACCAATATTTATATTTGGGCTTTTTTTTTATGGTAGCCATATGAATGGATGTGAGGTGGTATCTCATTATAGTTAGATTTGAATTTTCCTGATGATTAGTGATTTTGAGCATCTTTTCATGTGCTTATTGGCCATTTGTGTATCTTTTTTGGTGAAATATCTATTCAAGTTTTTTACCTAGTTTTTAATTCAGTTGTTTGCTTTTTTCTTGTTGAGTTTTGAAGTTCTCTAAATATTCTGGATATTAATCCCTTATTAGATATATAATTTGCAAATATTTTCTCCTATTCAGTGGGTTGCCTTTTTACTCTTTTGATGTTATCTTTTGGTGCTCAAATTTTAAAAAATTTTTTTAAGTCCAATTTTTTTTTCATTACCTATGCCTTTGGTGTCATATCCAGGGAATCACTGCCAAATCTAATGCTATGAAGCTTTTACTGTATGTTTTCTTCTAATGTTTTTATACTTTTAGTTTTAACATTGGTGTCTTTGATCCATTTGGAGTTAATTTTTGTATGTGGTGTTAGGTAAGGGTCCAATTTCATTTGTTTGCTTCTTGAATATTCAGTTTTCCCAGGATCCCTGGTTGAAGAGACTATGTTCTTTCCCCACCACATGGTTTTGACACCTTTGTCAGAAATCATTTGACCATTTATGTGAGGGTTTAATTTCTGGGTTCTTTATTCTATTCCATTGGTCTATGTATCTGTCTTATGCCAGTACCACACTCTTTTGATTATTGTAGCTTTTTAGTGATTTTTGAAATCAGGAAGTATGAGTCTCCCAGCTTTATTTTTCAAGATTCTATTGGCTATTTGGTGTCCCATGGAAGTACATATGAATTTTAGGGTGGGTATTTCTATTTCTATAAAAAGAGGCATTGAGATTTTTATAGGGATTGCATTGAATCTATAGATTGCTTTGGGTAGTATTGACATTTTAGCAATATTAAGTCTTCCAATCCATGAATGTGGGATGTGTTTCCATTTATTTTTATCTTCTTTAATTTATTTCAGCAATGTTTTATGGTTTGTACCAGTCTTTCACCTATTTGGTTAAGTATTTATTATATTTATCCTTAAGTATTTTATTCTTTTTGATGCTATTATAAATGGAAATTTTTTGTAACTTTCTTTGGGATTGTTCATGTTAGTATGCATGACTTTTCTGTGTTGACTTTCTATCCTACTACTTTGGTGAATTCATTTATTAATTCTGACAGTTTTTGGTGGAATCTTTAGGGTTTTTAATGTGTCAGATTATATCATCTGTAAATAGAGATAATTCTACTTCTTCCTTTACGTTGGAATGCCATTTATTCTTTTTCTTGCCTAATTGCTTTGTCTAGAACATCTAGTCCCGTGTTGAATAGAAGTGGTGAAAGCAGGCATCCTTGCCTTGTTTCAGATCTTAGAGGAGAAAAACTTTCAATCTTTATCCATGGAGTATGATATTTTCACTGTGAATTTTTCATATGTGGCTTTAATTCTGTTGAGGTAGTTTTCTTTTATTGCTAGTTTGTTGAGTGTTTTTATCATGAAAAGGTGTTAGATTTTTTCAAATGCTTTTTTTGCATCCATTGATATAATCATGTAGTTGGTTTTCTTCCCCCCTTCATTCTGTTAATGTGATTGATTTTTACATGTTGAGGCATCCTTGCATTCCAGCAGTAAATCCCATTTGGTCATGGTTTTTAATCCTGTTAATATGCTGCTGAATTTTGCTAGCTAGTTTTTGTTTGAGGATTTCTGTACGAATGTGTATAAGGGATATTGATCTGTAGTTTATTTTCTTGTCTTTGCCTGGCTTTGGCATCAGGTTAATGCTGGTCTCATAGAACGAGTTAAGAAATGTTCCCTCCCCTTCATATTTTTAGAAAAATTTGAGGGAGATTGGCTTTTGTTTTTCATTAAATGTTTGAAGGCCAGCCATGGTGGCTCACTCCCATAATCCCTGTGCTTTGGGAGGCCAAGGCAAGAAAATTTTGTGTGAACAAGAATTCAAGACCAGCCTGGGCAACATAGTGAGACCTGGTTTCTACAAAAAATTAAAAAATTAGTCTGGCATGGTGGTGCACACCTGTAGTCCCACCTACTCAGGATGCTGAGGTGGGAGAATAGGAGCCCAGGAATTTTAGGTTACAGTGAAGTATGATCATGCCACTGCACTCCAGCCTAGGGAACAGAGTGAGACCCTGTCTCTAAAAAAATTTTTTTTAAATGTTTGGTAGAATTCAGCAGTGAAGCCATCAGGGTCTGGGGCTTTTCTTTATCAGGAGATTTTGATTACTGATTTAATCTCCTTAATAGCTATAGATCTATTCAAATTTTCTATTTCTTTGTGATTTAAGCTTGATAAGTTTTGTGTTTCTAGGAATCTGTCCATTTCATTCATGTTATCTGATTTATTGGTGTACTCTTGTTCATAGTACTCTCTTGTAATCATTTTTAATTTCTTTAGAATCAGCAATAACATTCTCAGTTTCATTTCTGGTTTTAGTGATTTGAGGCTTCTCTCTTTATTTTCTTAGTTCATCTAGTTAAAAGTTTGTCAATTTTGTCGACCTTTTCAAAGAAACCAACTTTTAGTTTCAGTGATTTTCTCTATTGTTTTTCTGTCCTTGTTTTTGTTTATTGCTACTCTAATCTTTATTATTCCCTTTCTTCTGCTAGCTTTTGATTTAAATTGTTCTTTTTTTAGGTTCCTTAATTTATAATATTACATTGTTAATTTGAGGTCTTTTTTGTTTTTTAATGTGTTTATAGCTATAAATTTCCTCCTTAGCACTTTTTCACTGCATTCCATAAGTTTTGCCATGTTGTATTTCATTTTCATTCATTTCTAACTATTTTCTAATATTCTTTGTGATTTCTTCTTTGATCTATTGGTCGTTTAAAAGTGTGTTGTTTAATTTCCACAAATCTGTCAATTTTCCAGTTTTTGATTTGTGACTTCATTCCATTGTGGTTAGAGAAGATACTTTTTATGATACTTTCTTGTTACATCTCTTGAGATTGAGATTTAATCTGTGGCCTAACATGGTCTTTCCTGGAAAATGTTCTATGTGCACTTGAAAATAATTTGTATTTGGTGGTTTTGGGGCAGAATGTTCTGTATATTTCTGTCAAATCCAGTTGGTTTATTGTGTTAAGTCCTTTGTTTCTTTACTTATCTTCCATCTAGTTGTTCTGTCCATTACTAAGAGTGGGTTATATAAGTATCCAACTATTATTGTAGAACTATTGATTTCTCCTTTCAGTTCTATCGGTTTTTGCTTCATGTATTTTGATGGTGTGTTATTAGGTGTGTAAATGTTTATAACTGTCATATCTTCTTGCTGCATTTAACCTTTTATTAATATATAATGTCTTTCTTTGTCTCTTGTAGACTTCTTTGATTTAAAGTCTCTTTTGTCTGATATTAGTATCACCACCCCTACTCTCTTTTGATTACTATTTGAATGGACTATCTTTTCCATCCTTTCACTTTCAACTTATTTGTGTCATTAGATTTAAAATGAGTCTCTTCTAGATAGCATAGAATTGGATCATGTATTTTTATCCATTCTAATTTCTGTCTTTTGATTGGAGAGTTTAATCTACATTTAAAGTAGTTTAATTTACATTTAAAGTAATTGCTGATATAGATAGACTTACTTCTGTCATATTGTTATTTGTTTTCTATATGTCTATAGCTTTTTTTTTTTGCTTAAAGCTAGAATCTCACTCTGTCACCCAGGATGGAGTGCAGTGGCATGATCACAGCTCACTACAACCTGGAACACCTAGGCTCTGGTGATCCTCCTGCCTTAGCCTCCAGAGTAGCTGCAACCACAGGTGCATGCCATCACACCTGGCTAATTTTTTTTATATTTTGTAGAGACAAGGTCTTTCTGTGTTGCCAGGCTGGTCTCAAACTCCAGGGCTCCAGAGTTCCTCCAACCTCAGCTTCCCCAAATGCTGAGATTACAAGTGTGAGCCACTGTGTCTAGAGCCTTATAGTTTTTTTGTTACTCATTTCCTGCATTACTGTCTTCTTTTGTGCTCAGTTGATTTTTTGATAATGAAATGTTTAAATTTATT